CCTAGTAGCGACTTTGCTCCTAGTAGCGTCCTAGTAGTAAGGCCAGGCGCCCCTAGTAGCGTTTTTGCTCCTAGTAGCAATGCCAGGAGCCCCTAGTAGCGTCCTTGTTCCTAGTAGCACACCGCTTGTGTTGGTGCAGGTGCACCGTGGAGTGATGAGAAATGGGCAGAATTCCATGCGTCTTGGTCTCATGGCTATATTGCCAGCCGCACAGTCTGGGTGAACAACACTTTGCAATATGGGGCACTGAGCAATTGCATTCCAGAGCTCAATACTGTGCACACTTATGTCCATGTTGATGGTGTACAGATCTTGGCTTTGATCGAAGAAAGGATTTCGGGCATGGATTTTGGCACTTTGGCAAAGACGTTGATCTTCGATCCGCTCAACATGAAAGGGGCAGAGATCATCGACGCAAATCCCGCTGGAGGGCTTTGGGCCTCTTTGAGTGACCTGGGAATCTATGGCCAGTGGCTTGTCCAGGGCTACAACGGGCGGCCTGAGGCTTTGGCCAAGACTCTCTTGAAGCAGCAAGACTTCGTGGATTTGCTGTCGCCCATCACAAAGTCACCCGGAACACCTCAGCTGAACAAGTTTTAGAAGATCCTAGTTTCAAGTCTTTCAATTTTCAGAAGTGCCGCATGTTGATCCATGCTGACAAGACAGGGTCTTGTTCCACGGGCATACAGAAAACCGTGGCATGGAGTCAGCATATGCACTTCGCAGTGTTCGGTTCAACCGAGGCCGCATAGAGTCATATAATCTGAAACATAAAAAGGGACTAGCAAAAAAAGATAAGAAAGTGTTCTGCTTCCAACCTACTCAGGATGGCCTCCAACCTAATTGCAATGGCCTCCAACCTACTAGCGATGGTCTCCAACCTAATTGCAATGGCCTCCAACCTACTCACGATGGCCTCCAACCTAATTGCAATGGCCTCCAACCTACTAGCGATGGCCTCCAACCTAATTGCAATGGCCTCCAACCTACTCGCGATGGCCTCTAACCTACCAGCGATGGCCTCCAACCTACTCGCGATGGCCTCTAACGTACCAGCGATGGCCTCCAACCTAATTGCAATGGCCTCCAAACTACTCGCGATGACCTCCAACCTAATTGCAATGTCCTCCAACCTACTCGCGATGGCCTCCAACCTAATTGCAATGGCCTCCAACCTACTAGCGATGGCATCCAACCTAACTGCAATGGCCTCCAACCTACTCGCGATGGCCTCCAACCTAATTGCAATGGCCTCCAGCCTCCTGGCGATGGCCTCCAACCTAATTGCAATGGCCTCCAACCTACTAGCGATGGCCTCCAACCTAATTGCAATGGCCTCAAACCTACTCGCGATGGCCTCCAACCTATTGCAATGGCCTCCAACTTACGATGGCCTCCAACCTAATTGCAATGGCGTCCAACCTACTCGCGATGGCCTCCAACCCAATTGCAATGGCCTCCAACCTACTAGCGATGGCCTCCAACCTAATTGCAATGGCCTCCAACCTAATTGCAATGGCCTCCAACCTAATAGCGATGGCCTCCAACCTAATTGCAATGGGCCTCCAACCTACCAATGGCCTCCAGCCTACTAGCGATGGCCTCCAACCTAATTACAATTAATGGCCTCCAAA